AAGAAAAACCTGGCCGCGTCGTGCTCCAATGAAGGGATGCTGGAATATGCTCTCGAGGTACACAAGAGGATGTCGGCGAAGAAGGTGGCAGAACTACGGAAGATTTGGCAATAAGGAAGGTCTTCCAATCGCCAAGAGGGAAGATATGATCCGCAAACTAGTACGCTGCAGAACGAGGCTCGCATATGAAGGCTTCAGTGAGAAAGATTCCTCACCACTTGGTGATAAGTAGATAGCTGATTAGATGGACGCTCTTGAGGAGTGTATGCTCGCACGGGTGGAGAAAGTAGGAGAAGGAGGGAAGCTGGTTCATGCCGATCTTGAGAATCATGCAACTCGGCTATTTCTATTGCTAGCTATTCAGGGACGATTTCCGTGGATGAAAAAATGGCTGGCTATCTTGAACGATGATGCTGCTGGTCGGGGAGACACCAGGGATTCCGGGGTTTACATTATTGCTAGCCCTTGGTGTAAACACATATACATTGGATGCACAATTAGAAAGGTTGTCACGAGATGGGCTGAGCATGTTCGATGTGTCATCTCTGGGAATTTCGGTACGGCTCGGAAATTGCATGTCTGGTTAAAGAGGTTCGGTTGGGAGAAGTATGTCATCATTCCTGTGATAGTGGGGGTAGATAATCTAGAAGAAGTAGAGTCTATGCTGATAGCTAGATTCTCCCCGGCTTTGAACAGTATTGGTAGAAAGGGAGAAGGAAAGAAGAAGGGCAGACGCAAAAGGAAGAGGGAAAGAGGTAAGAGGAAGTGTTTCGCTCCTCAGGGCGCCGTGATTTTTTTTTCCATCTGTGGTGAATCTTTTACCTCTTTCTCGCTGCTGACGATTCTAGTGGATATCCTTCGCCGTGGGAAACCTTGTACCGTTACGTCGTGTAAAGGAGAGTTGTGGTGTGATGGTTGGAAAAGTTGAAGTCCAAAGCGAGAGAGACCGAGCTGGAAATAGGAGATAAGAAGTATTACCTGAAGGACTGTCGTGATCATCTACAAGAAGGGGCTCGGTTTGTCGTGAAGAAAGTGCGGCTGCTTTCCTCGGCGGTGGAACACCGTCGGAATGTCTTGAGGGAAATCTTGATCCGCCCGTATCGGGTGAAGCAAGCGTATCGTATGTCTTCGTCCAAGTTGATTGCGCTTTATAGAACGGCCTGTTTGTTCTCAACCAAGAAAACGAGAAACTCCTTGAAGCTTCGCATCGCCAAGGTAATCAAAGGTAAGTTCGACGAAGACATTCGGAAACGACCGGTGGTGAAAGTGCCTTATTCTCCGGCTTTGAAGACAAGAGGGGTACAGGATGTCATGGTTGATGCACTCAGCCAGGTAATTCCTGATGGAAGCATCAGAAACTATGTCTCAGGCCGTATTAGGATTGTGCTCATGAAGAGAAAGATTGTTGCTGATATCATCCATAACCATCGTTCATGGGTGAAGAAAGATGTAGGAGTTTGCACATGTATTCACCTAGATCTCTCAAGATCTCAAGGTCATGTCAAGGTAAGACTTGATGAGATCAAAGATTTGCCGAGATTTTTGCTGAACTCGAGAAACATAACTGTCGGAAAAGATAGGCCTGATCTGGTTGGGAAGGGCATTCTGGATGGACTGATTCCTTGGCAAAAAAAACGCCCGGTTAATCTAAGCCAGGGACTCATGCTCTCATGCTGGATGGAAGACTACATTCCTTCCGCCGGGATGAATGAAGAACAGGTAAAAGGTTACTTCGCCCCGTACAAAGAACTGGTTGTTGTCCCGGTGGATCGCAACCCGGGCGCCACCGTTCTCCTTTGTCCAATTTTGTATCTGCATGCACAACACATGATATTTAGATGGAATAGCAGCTTCGATGCTACTCCTGGTCCTTTTTTTTTTTTTTTTTTTTTTTTTTTTGCGCAGGGGCCATGTTAATCTTCTCTGTATCGTTCCAATTTTAACGGATGTCCCGAAGGACTGCTACTCCTGGTTCTGAGTCCGAAATTTTGGTAGAATCCAAGCGTGATTACGTGAGCATAGGTCTGGTGAGAGTTGCTGAGTGGGGTAAAACTGGTAGGATTGGGACAGCCTACCTTATTCCAAAAGAGAAGGACTTGGATCGCTGGAGACCTATCTCTCCCGCGACCACTGATCCTGCTCGTCTGGCCAGCGCACGTTTGGGACGCGCGGTCAGATATACGCTCATGTGTATAAAGAACAACTGTTATTTTGACCTATCCGCTACTGATATGCTCAAAACTGTCTTCATACGCCACCAGAACTCGTTAAGAAGGAAGAATGACGCTGCCTTGGCCCGGAGTTTTGATATCAAAGATATGTTTGCAAAATTATCTCACGAGAGTGTACTGACATCGGTAGAATGGCTGATGGATGTACATAGTAGCCGTGGTCTGAAGGCAATCTTGGTTTCTTACAGGGGCAGGGACTGTAGGATGTCCAGGTCTCTGGGCAAGGTAGATGATTTTGTGACCATGAGCTTTGAGCTGATTCAGAAGATACTATCCTACAATCTTTCACATGCATTTGTGAAATGTGGCTCCGTTATCCTCAGACAGATTTTTGGCATACCCATGGGCAGGAATTCGAGTCCTGCTCTGGCTTGCTTAGTCTGTGCAAGATCGGAAACCTTGTTTCTCTCGTCTCTGGGGAAAGACAAGCATCTTGTTCCTGGTGTGAGAATGGTTGATGACGTCGCAGTCTTAGTTGGTGTATCGTCTGCTGACCTCACTTCCTGGGAAAAAGCTGAAGCAATCCTGACGAAATTTGAATCCTGTTATGAGTCGACTCTGACTCTGGTTAGGAAGGACAAAGGCACTAATTCCTTTGATTTTCTAGGTGCCGTGCTTCACGTGGAGATCTGTCCTATTCATATCCATATTTTTCCAAGAACCAGGAATCAGAAGTTTTTGGGTCAACTGGGCCAAGTGAGGATTCATTCTCTGCAGGATTATGATTCCTTCTCCTTCAAAAAGATGAAGAGGTCGGTGCTGGCCGCTGCTATGTTACGTATCAGTCGAATGTCTACCTCCGAGAATGATGCACTCGTTGCCATCGCCGCTCTGATGATGGAGGTGAACCTCCGGGGATACCCCCCGGAGGTCTCTCTCGGCTCTCTAGCTCTTTTTGTTAGAGTGGCCGGAGGTGGTTGGGGAGCTTTGCTCCTTGACCTGTACCTCGACCTAGGAAAATATTTAAATAATTAAAAAATTATAGTGTATTTTGTTACGCTGTGCTCACGCTCGAACGGCCACCCCTTTTGTTTTCAGGCGGGCCCTCCACTTGGTACCCTGGCGGTACGTTGCCCTGTAATTTTTCTTTCTCTTTTTCTTTTTCTTTTTCTTTCTTTTTTGAATTTGGTTTTTCGGATTTTCGTCATTACCGCAGGCGGGAGAACTGTTCAGCCGTTTACTTACCTTGGAAAACCCGGCGATGGGGGTTGCTTCGACGAGCATGGCAATCTACAGAGCCATATCTAATTTTTGGCAAGTAAGCGGACGTTATGTGCGCTCCATTGGTCGTGCTCTTCGCCTGAAGGTACATAGATGGAAAGTAGACCAAGGAACATCCGTTGTGCTCAGTCTTCTTCTCGCCGGTTTTGCTGCTCGCGACCTTTCTCCCTCCTACATCGTCATCGTCGTTCAAGGCTCCATCTGATAACAGGCTTCTCAACTCGTCTCTAATCCCTGTTTTTCGGATTAGTGTACCAGGGTTTGCACCTGCTTGGCATGATGGATCTGGATCATCTTCTGGATGGTGGGGCGATCTAGACTATATGGATCTGGACGTTTTTCTGGTAGACAGTTCTGTTCCTTTTATTGTATGAGATCTGCGGACGATGGAGAAAGTGTGCTTTTGTTGGTTTTCTGTGTGATGAGATAGGATGAGAATAGCTATTTAAGAGGAGAGAGGGATGGCCTTAACCCTCTTACAGGATCGTAGTCTCCACACGAGTGGTCACATGCATGTATAGATCTCATACATCGGTGAAATGATATAGACAACAATTGAGTCAAAAAAAATCAGACATGAAGCTCGTCCCCAATTACCATCGCCACCATCACCCCGTGTGTGAGAAAAACACAGGTCATGACACGTCAGTGTCAGCCTCCACCTTCATTCCTGCGGCTTCCCCCTACGTCGCGTTTCGATCGGTTGCCAGCCGATCATCATCAGGGGGGTCCCTCGATACTCAAGCAAAAAGGACTGACAAGGACAAAAGTGTTAGTTAAGTACTGTTCCGGCCGCGTCCCTGCGGCCAATATCCTACCTACGGAAACTCCTACTTTTCTCCCCAGAAATTTATTTTCGATTTTCGTCGGACTACCGTAAAGTACTGCTTTAGATCGGTTCTGACGTCCTTCCCCGTCGGCGTCGGTTCATGCCTGCCGTTTGGGACAGTCTGAGATCCATTGTGTGTATTTTGGTCGAAACATGGACCAGAAACTGTCGCAGTTTCCTGATCCATATGTTGTTGCTTCGGCCAGGCCCCCTTTTTTTTGGTTGTGTATCTCAGTGCAGTATCCATCCTCGAGGTCGTGTGTTCGAACCCTCCAGTCAGTACCGTACTAAATAATTTCATCACCGATACCTCCCTCT